AAAAGCCAGTGTGAGTTCTGGGGTGTTTCATTAGAGCTACTGATACATGTAGCACCTATGGCAGCCAGACCCAGCACTAAAACACTTGCCACTTATGTCCACACCCATTATTATTGTACACTTGTTGCCACTGAATTATCACTTTTAAGTGATGTGCTTTTGCTAGTTTTAGTTGAATCGACATTCTAATTTTCCACTTTTGTGTAAAATTGATAGCAGTGGGGTCAAGAATAGGAAATGCTGGTGTCTTTGAAAGCAAATACTATGCAGAGGCCTCCTCTGTAATGTTTTTATTGAATTGAACCATTCAATTTCCATATTATATAGGAGTTTAGCTTCTGTATATGATTATATGAAATTGATTTCCACTGTAAAGGCCCTGTTAAGCAAATTAGTGATTATGAATGTGTCTGCCCTGCAAAGCAATACAAATTAGACTAGCATGAGTCTGCATAACTGGCAGACAGAAACTGTTCATTTACTACAGAAGAAAGAACACTTATTTTTTACCTACATTTTGACTGCCTGTGGTTAAAAATATTACACTTATTAAGACATGTTCTGTTTTAGACATGGTTTTAAATGACTGTATTACCATTTTAACCTTTTACACATACATTATTCAAGGACAAATAAGGACATGTGAAGATGAATTCTGATATGTTTTGCCCAGTCAGAAACAGAAACAGAGACAACTAATAAAGACAGAGAGTGCACACATGCTCTCCTAGCTCAGCCTTAGATCAGACAGGTACACACTAAGAGGAGCACTGGGAATATTGCTCTGTGAAAGCCCATTGCCATCATGAGTCCCTGGATGCTTCAGTTGCTTTATAGTTATCTACCACTGGACAGAGAATTTTTTTTTTTAATGCGGAATCAGTGTCAGCTGTCCAAGCTTGGAGGAATAGTATCAATACTGAAAGTCGATTTTACCCGAAGATTTTGCAGTAATGCCAGTGATGAAAAACAAAAAATAAAGAAAAAAGTCTAATATACAGACTCAAATCTGTCAAGACAGCATGTAAATGTAGTTCATTATGCAAACAACTATTACATTATCAATAATTAATAACTATTAGTAATTAATTATGTAACTGTCAAATTCCATTTACATATATTTTATTCCATATTTAATTAAATGTGTAAATCAGTGTAAATCAATCTATGGCAAAATGGCAATAAGAACTCTAGAGTAAGTGTTAGTGTTTGATAGATATACACAAATAGATATGTGGGAAGCCTTTCCACTAGATTTTAAAGTGTGTCTGTGGGAATTTGTGCCCATTCAGTCAAAAGAGCATTTGTGAGCTCAGACACTGATGTTGGACAGGAAGGCCAGGCTTGCAATCGACATTCCAGTCCATCCCAAAGGTGTTTGGGTTGAGGTCAGAGCTCTTTGCACACCACTGTAGTTCCTCCACACTAAACTCGTCAAATCACGTCTTTATGGATCTCACTTTGTGCACAGGGGAGGAGTCATGCTGGAACAGGAAAGGGCCTTCCCCAAACTGTTTCAACAAAGTTGGAAGCAGATAATTGTCTAAAAAGTCTAAGTATGATGTAGCATTAACATTACCCTTCACTGGAACTAAGGGGTCAAGCCCAAACCAGACCATTATTTCTCCACCATAAAACTTTACCATTGGCACTATGCAAGCTGTTATGTAGCATTCTCCTGGCATCCACCAAATCCAGATTCGTCCATCAGACTGCCAGATAGTGAAGCATGATTCATCACTCTGGAGAACAGATTTCCACTGCTCCAGAGTCCAGTGGCAGCATGCTTTACATCATTCCAGCCATTGGCGTACGAATTGGAAACAGTGCATTTGTCCCACACAAAAATTGTACCGAGGGGAAAAAAATAAAAAATTTGAAAGCGCGACAATGAGGGTAACGTGTTTTGCCAGCAAATCAGACAACCTTCCCATTTCATGCTGTGTTGTGTGTTGGGTGGCGCTGGGCCTTCTTTAGTGTTTGTTAAGGTTTATGTTGAGGTGCCTGTTCAAAAATAAAGAGCTTTTGCTCAAAAAAAAAAATCATGCTGTGTTTGAATATCCTCCAATCACCAGCTTCACTGGCCTCAGCTTTTGCCTAGTTGGAGCATCTGGCTGGCAATGAGGTTAGCTTTCACCAGCTTTGAACTTGAGGTCAGTAATGAGAGCACAACTAATAGCAACGACGGCTAATTACAGCTATGAAAACAGCTTGTGTGTAACTTCTGCTGAATCCTGCTCCCAGAGATCTACCACCCTGCCGAGTTTAGCTCCAACACTAATCTAACACACCTGATCCAGGTAATGAAGGCCTTCAGGAGCATCTGAATATCAGAGCCAGGTATGTTGGATCTGAACTCTCCAGGATCTCTGGGAGCAGGACTGCACACCCCTGGTTTAAAACATTAAATTTTGCCATTATTTTGTTTACCTTTTACCCTGTATCTTAAATGCAGTTCGTCCTTAGCCTTGCCATTAGCTTAGGAATTCAGTCCCAAGAACAGTCAACTCCATTGCATAAAAATCAAACTTTTTTGGAATTTTTACTTGTTCTGTTCTTGTTCTGTTCTGTTGTGTACATGAGACAGGACAGTAATGTAATATGTCAGCCTGATTTTAGCCACAGAGAACAATGAAGCTGAAGGCTTCATATTCGCCAGCTTCTTGTTCGAATGCCTGTTCCACCTTAAATGTGCAGCAGTTACATTGTGGCACTAATATCTGCCACACCATTTAAGTTGGAACTAGAAAATACAAACAGGAAGCCAGCAAACAAGAAGCTGGTTTCATCGTCATCAGAGAACACAAGTAAGCGCTTCTTCAAGTGTCTCCATACTGTTCAATTTTTTTTTCATAGATCAGTAAAGAAAAATAAAACAATATGCCTCTTCAGAATTGTTTTTAAGCAGCTATTCAGCTCTGTGACCTCAGTGGCAGATTTATAGTAGCAAATGTGTCCCCCCACTGTGAAACTCACTACTGCACCCTTGATTCCAGCCAATGTTTGGCATTGTGCATAGTGATCTTAGGCTTGTGTGCAGCTGCTCGGCCATGGAAACCCATTTCATGAAGTTCCCAACATGCTGTCCTTGTGCTGATGTTGCTTCCAGCGGCAGCTTGGAACTGAGCTGTGAGTGATGCAGCTGAGGGTAGGCGAATTTTATGCGCTACATACTTCAGCACTCAGCAGCTCCACTCTGTGAGTTGACTTGGTCTCCTGCTTCATGGCTGTTGTTGCACCTAGACACTTTCATTTCACAATAATAGTGCTTACTTACAGTTGACTGGGGCAGATCTAGCAGGGCAGAAATTTCACAAACTGACTTGTGGCAGAGGTGGCATTCTAGGACAGTGGCACGTTTAAAGTGACTGAGCTCTTCAGTACGAACCATTCTACTGCCATTGTTTGTCTATGGAGATTGCATTGCTATGTGCTTGATATTGTACACCTGTTAGCAGTGGATGTGGCTAATACATATATGGTGTCCAAACTTCATATGCCGCAATGCTGAAATTGCTATTTTATTTGTTCTATTTCCTAATTTACAAATACATTACAAATATAAAATAGTATTTATATATTTATTTATACACATTCATATAGTATGGAATATTTAATTAGTCTTTGCATAAGGGACCAGACTATGAGCTAGCCTGCAGGAGTGATGTGTGGCTGCCCTTGTGCAGACAGAGGTGGTGTCTTTTTGAATGCCAGTTCTTGGAAGCTCTTGCTACAGAGACACTCATGAATCATTAATAACTCTTTTATGCAAAGTAACTGAATCTATAAAAGAACAAACAGTTTCTTGATTTGGCTCATGAGAAGTGGCTCTTAGGCTGTAAACTAGATTATGATTAAGAAAAGATGCTTTCTGAATATGTATTGTAGTGTATATGTGTGTATGCTTATAAGAGAGAGAGTGAGAAAGAGGTAGAAGGGAAGAGAGAGAGAGAGAGAGAGAGAGAGACAGAGAGTCTTATCATCATAGAGTGGGTGCAGAAGTGACACTTGAGCCAAACAGAAGGCACTTTTCATCACCACACACTCAGGGTCACACCTCCAGCTAGTGGAGCCACACTGTATGTGTGGAATGAAGATTAAAGTGAGTTGCTGAGTGTGTGTGTGTATACACAGCAGTGTGAAGTGTGAAGAATGTGAGAAAGCTAGACAGCAAGTTATTTCATTAAACCTCCACCTCTACATGGGGAAGATCTGTGTGGTATCTTTAGAAAGAGAGAGAAAGAGAGAGAGGGTCCTCCTGGGGTCTAGTGTGTTGTGAATGAGTGAGATGAGTGCAGAAGCAGAGTGGCAGTACTATCCCTATTGAACTTGTTGCCAGGTTAGGCCATATGCCACCCTCTTTATTCTGGGTCAAACACTTCGGTGCACAATACTAAGTTGATGAATAACATGAAAATCAGCCAGTATAGTGTAAAGCGCGAATTAAGCTGGACTTGTTTTACTTCAGGGGAAACGCTATATAAGTTATTACCGGCGAGAGCTGTGATTTAATCTAGCTTGAATCTGCAGTTTTCAATAATTCTAAGTCTTGTAATAAATCAGGAGCAAATTTGCCTCTGCAGTTTGCTGAACCTGGAGATCACTCAGTAGTAGTGATGTTAGTCCGTTTCTAACTGACCTTGTGGTAATGTAATAACAAAACCTGCTAATAGAAACGGCTGTGTTATGTGTACCAGGTTATGGCTTTTCTATTCAGGATATCTGTGCTAATCTGGGGACATTGCACAGATACTTTATAATGTACGTATCATCAAGTCAAATTCTTTCATTCACATTCTACTGCATGAATGTGAATGTCATGTGCATACCTAGTTCATGAATAGTTAGCATTAAGTCTAGATCAGGATCATCCCAGCTAATAGTGAGAGAAACTACTCTATTAACTAAAAATATCTATACTCATCTCACTATTTTCTTCACAATGTGACTATTCTGCTAGTAGTCAATATTGTACTATTGACTACTGTTTTCATCCACAGCTCTGGTATCTGCTGGCTGCTGCACTACGTCCTGTAGAAGTGTCAAGCTTTGGGAAAGGTAAGACGGTGCAATGGTGCAATTCAGTGTCAGAAGATGAATATCTCTAATATTGTGTACTAATGCTGAATATGAAAAAGAAACTGAACGACAAATGACATCAAAGTTCTGCAGTTTTATTAGAAAAGATTCTGGCAAGCACATAAAATGACACAAATATAAAAATATAGAGATTATAGGGATTAGACTAAGATCAGTCTCAACATGTGGTTGCATATATGTTCAGTTCAAAAGTTTAAATTAAGCTCACTTACAAATATCAGATGGCTAGTCCTATAGCCTCAGATATTTAGCTAGAACTGTAATAAATGGGTATGGAGATTATGAATGTGAGCTCAGCAAAATCAAGAAAGCAAACCTCTCTAATGCTTCCTTGTGGGTTGAATTATTCTGCTATTAAATTTGCTTCATCATTAAATATTAACATCTCTTCACATGGCCTCTCCTACTGGGAGTGCATTTAACAGAAGGGGCAGGAGTGAAATGACCCAATAGTCCTGGGAGATAATATTAATGCTCACATATATTCACACTCACACAAAAAGCTGGACAATATGACATTTGTTATTATCATGATAAATTACATCACAATATGTCACAATATGCTTTTACGAGCATGTTGTGGGTATTGTTGGTACTGCAAAACAACTTACCAATTGCATGTTTGATTACCAAGAGACCATAATTAGTCCTGTTTAATTGAATTTAGTGCAGCACAATGTGTGAAATGTTGAAGGTGCAATGCTTTTGAGAAGCAGCACACATTACAGTTTTGTCTAGCTGCATAAAGTATATTGATATACAGTCATGTTGCTTATTTTTATATTCACAGCTTTCTGCATGCAAAATAAAAGTTGAAATTATGGAGCTATAAATAAAAAGCAGAGTTATGAGAATTTTGTCACGTTTTATGCATTTATGCACCACAGTTAGTGATTTGATAGGTTATGATGTAAGAAATGAGGTGAGGCAAGGGCCCCATGCATTAATTTTTTAGCAGGCCCAAAAAGTTGCATCTCTTAGTACATAAATATACACCCATACACATGGGTGTGTGCCTGCACATCCACAGAATATGTGCAATTCATCAAAAGGTTGTTGCTGTCAAAACAAAACCATGCATTTCTGAAATGTTAGCTTTATAGTGGGGAAAATAAAGTTTTTAACCTTTTTTGTATGTTAATAATACAAGATTTTATTCCAGGTAGTTTCTGATCATTTTTATTTGTCCATTTGTTATGAAATATTCTGAAGTTTTGATATTACAGTGACAATTGTCCACTGGACCAGAGAGGGGTTTGTGCCATGCCAAATGCTTATCAGCCAACTCTTTTTACTCTGCAGCTTTGACGCCTCCTGACCCTTGCCTTGATTGGATCCAGTGGTGGGTTCCTGGCCTTGAGAGAGGAGCCCAGTTCTCTGGTGTCTAATGCACTGGGAGAGAGAAAAGGAGTGGAACAGAGGGAGACGGTGAAGAAAAAGGAGAAGGAAATTGTGCAGCAGCCAGTGTCTTGTGTCTTCTCCACCCCATGCTGGTTTCAGCTCTCCTGTGTCCCCTGTTAGAGCCCAGCACATCCAAGAGGGATTCTTTAGGAGGGAGAAGACTGGAAACCCCACCCAAATGGAATTCAGTAATGGGAGATGAAAGATGCTCTCTATGTTGCCAACAAAATAGACCTACCTCCTTTAAAAGAAAGCAGATGAAACTTAACATGAAAGTATGAAATGGGATTCAGAGGCTATCACCCCTTTTGTTTACAGATGCCATACACAACCACATATGAGCAAGCACTAATAAGAGTGAACGTTTTCCAGTTGGATCCACTAATAAAGTTTAATTGGAGATTCTGTGCATCACAGGAAATTAAAAAAAGAGAAGTATTGTCATAGCAATCACTGCCTTGCTTCCATTAAGAGCTTTGTGGTGACCATCAATTAATTATGACCATAATATAAGCTACAAATATTTGTACGTTGAGCAGTCTGTGCTGACCAATTATCATTAGGAGAGGAGATGGTACATCCAAATTGCTCCTTTCTGTCATTGAATAACGGCTGCTTATTAACCATGTGGTAAATGAAGTGCTGTCTGATCTGATGCTTTTTGGAAGCACAAAGCCAGCCTTAAATGCACCCTGTACCCTCTTAGTCTGTGTTAATGGACCATTCCAGAGGGGCAAATATGAAAGACTTACTAACATTCTCTGAAAAACCACAAGCTCCCAATTTGTCCACACTTCAAAGACCATCATGCCTTGCTTCGACCCAGGTGTTTCTGTGAATCCCTCCCTTATAGACAATGACAACAGAACAAGTACACACACACATATACAGACAAACAAAGACATGCACACATGCTACATTTAGCTTCATTTGAGAACTGGATAGCATACATTCATGCACTTGCGTGACACAGACATTTTTGGTAGCCCTTTATTTATTAGGCCTAGATCACAAATCCTGTGCGCCAACCATTGATCCTCCTGTATAATTCAGTATTACATACAGTAAAAGCTACTTTGTAACCTCTTTAACCTGTGATCTTTTTTTTATTTTTGTTGACAGATTATATGAGACAGAACCATATTAATATATGAAACTTTTATGTTTTTAAAAAGTAAAGAGTAGTTTATCTGCTTAGTTTTTTAAATATGATAACTATAATTATTATTTTTGACGTACTGGTATTATATATATGAATATATATGATTATTATACTGAGAGATCTGTATGTATAATAAAGAGTGTCTTCTTTATGTAAAACACTTTTACTGGGGTGACTCTTATTATTGTGCCATTCTAGAGGAAAGGTGCTACATATGATTGTCTGTGTGGTGGAATATAAAGAATACAATCATCAGATGCATGTTTTCTAAACATGTGTTAGACGTAATACACCTATACATTAGTTAGAGGTTTTACAGTGGTTTGTGTATATAAGGGTCAGCAATATGATCTTATCTCTACAAAAAAACAAAAAAAAACCCAAAAAAAAACAATAAATAAGACACTAAGAATGGCCACAATACTGGACTTAATGCACACATTCTTAATCACAGGGCTTCTAATGGGTGGTGGTGTTATGATTCAAGAACACATATAACACATTTTATACACATATAAACTTTGGACAGTAAGACTTTCGTACAGTACTATTGGATAGACAAATGGTAAATGTTTTGGTGCCTAATGGTGCCTAAAACTTTTGCACAGTGATGTGTATGTGTATATACTAGCAGGCCTGGGAAGCATAGTGAGCATAGTGAATGCAATAAAAAACACAGTCTTTTGTGCAATGAATGACTATAGCCCATATTTTGCAATACACAATATTTGTTGACCATCTTCTAGCCCTTGATTAGCTTACCAGGAGAAGGAAAAAACATCCTTGACTTTCAATGGAAGTTAATGTAACAAGATCTTATTCTAAGTCATTTTGTATGATTTGTTGGCCTGTTCATCGTGAAATCTTGACACACGTCAAGGCAATTGGTGTTTTCAGAAAGTGACAAAACGAAAAACGACAAAATTGGAGGTACAAAGTTTTATTCTGTCAGTCATGATTAGTAAAACATACAACATGCCTCTACATTCTGCTGTACTGCATTTACTCGCATGTTGATCAAGTGTGTGTCCTGAACAGGAAGTAGGAACCAGTAGGTGCTCTTCACTTATTGACTTGGGGACAGTGCAGTCTCTTAATACATCCACAAGGTAGCAATCAATTTCCCACCGTAGCAGCCACCCTGTTATGTATGATATTAAGAGTGGAAACATATTGATCACATTCTGGCCAACTGCCCAAGAATGAGCCTGTATATTATGTATTAACTCAGAGTGTAGTTGTTCAAATAGGCCCAATAGGTTGAAGCATGATTCTTACAACAGCCACCTTCAATTGTGTGAATGCTGCACTGAAATAAAGAGTGTCAAGGGCTGGCATGCTTGTAGACTACGGAGCATGTGTTTATCCGGAGGGGTTGAAGGATGTGTGTATGTGTGTGTGTGTAGGGACTATAAATGTGCTCAAGTGTATGCCCTGTTCTGCTACAGTAGGTAGGTAAGTATATCAGCCAGAAGGTAAGGGCCGAAGTGTAGCAGCATGCGTGCTCTGATTAAGATGCATGATTTTTAAGAGGCCTGACCACACACACCACGCACTTGCAAACAAGTAAGTATTCAACTATTCATGCGCACATACACCTACACACACACACACACACACACACACACACACACACACACACACAGTGTTCTAATGTCTTTATATATTTAGTTTCCACTGCAATGCAGCACACACTGAAGTCCTACTGTGAGCTGGCCTGTGTGCCAGCCTGACCAAAAACATCCAATCCATCAAAACAACCATCAGACCAAGGGGAACCTGGAGGCCTATAAATATCTCTCTCTCTCTCTCTCTCTCTCTCTTCTCTCTCTCTCTCTCTCTCTCTCTCTCTCTCTCTCTCTCTCTCTCATTTCAGACTGCACCTCCAGATCTGCACCAATCAATGGGATAATGTTTCATAGTGGATGTAGATATAACCCAGTGTTTAGGGCGTGGATTGAGGGGGGCTGAGAAGCAGAGTGACTGCATGCAGGGAAAGAAATAAAGTCTTAAAAATGCAGCGTTGTTCAAAGACAAATAAATAGGAAATGCTGAGCTGGAGGAATACAGTATACTGTGTTTGCATTCTGCTGGGATGTGTGCCAGTGCTGCAAGAGGCATTCGCCATGGAATAAAGCAAAAAAAGTCATTATCTCACGGTTATTTATATGAGAATACAACATAATTATTTTATGGTGGCTTTGATTTATGCTGATACCTAAGTCAATGCACAGTTAATATCTTGGAATCTTATCAAGACAGAGGTATGGACATGACTGTAAAAGAATATGCCCTTTCTCAGTAAGATCCCTGACTAGACTGAATTTTAGCAGTTTGCCATTATCCAAAAAAGGGAAGCTTTGGTTTGAGTGCAGTACTTCACAAGCTACCATTAAATAACCATGGTTTTCTGTTTGAGCCCATGACCTCACAAAAACAGGCTTATTAAACGATAGTCTGTATTTGAGCTCATCACTTCACACATTCTCATTTAAAAAGCCTGGTTTTGGGTTTGTGCTCATCACTTCACATGCTATCGTTTAATAAGCCTGGTTCTGTGTTTGAGCTACTTCACAGGCTAAGTGATCAAAATCAGGCTTGTCTCAAAGTGAAGGCTGCCGAAGACATAGGAGACCTTGGTAGCACTGGTATATAAAGGCTCCCCTTTAGTGTTCACTCATGCACATTTGAGATGGAGTAAACAGACTGTACTGACGTATTACAGCTTACTGAAACATTAAACTTAATTTTACATTTTATTACAAAGTGTGGTACCACAGTATCTCAGCATTAATGGCTGTTTTCGCAATTTTTCTCAGCCGTTTTTCAAATGTTTTTGCGCTGCCCTTGAAGAACTGTGGATGACTCAAACCACCACCACTTGAATCCTGCGATTTCTCTAAAATGAAGGACACATTTCTCAGCTGCATTTGAAAGATCCTACAAAATAGGACAGCCTTCAATGACGTAACGGAAGAGAAATGACTGCATCCTTGGCTTTGAGATACAGTTACCATCGATGTACATGCAATCATTTAATAAGCTTGGCTTTGTGATTTGTGCCATTTCAATACTTTTCTTTAACATGCCTCCAAACCTGCCCTCGGCAAGGTTAGACTCAGTGAGCTAATTAGCTGGCCATGCAGTGACTACAACCTACATAAACACTTTGTAGCCATTGCTAACTAGGAAGCTTTGTAAAATAATAATGTAGCATTAGCAGTCATGTATAACAGATGGAGTAGTACATGAACATAGGAAATCAATGTTGTAGCTTTGAAATATTATGTATTTTAAAGTTTACTATTTCTATTGCCTATGCTTTGTCTGCCAGGTTTTGGGAGTTTGGAAAAGGAATTGCATCAGGCCTCAGTAATTTCTGGACAAATTCTTGTACTCAATCTGTCCCTCGTCCCATCAGGAGTCCATCTAATAAACTTCAATTGAGCTTAAAAGTAATGGAATTGCCTGTAAGATGGCATCAGTGATTCCCCAAGGGCAAATGGTGAAGTTGACGAGGACATTAAAATGGGTATAGATGGTGCACTCGTCTCTTCACATTATATTGTTAAATAAGACTATAGTCTCAGGTTTGAGCTCATGTCTTCACTTGCTATCATTAAAAAGCCTGAATTTGTACTTAAAATCATCTCTACACATGATATCGCTTAATAATAAGCCTGTTTTTTTTTGTTTTAGCTCATCTCTTCACATGCTATCGTTTAATAAGTCCTGCTTAGTGTTTGAGGCCTGTCTCCTCATTCCTAATCTGAAGACTGACATTAACATAGAACAACAAATACCAACATCATAGCAGGTATCTGAGGGGGATCGAAAGGTCTTATGAGCAGGTATTGTTTTGTGTGTGAAAGAAATTGAGAGGGATGGAACCTACATGAAAGTCACCCTTTTGTTCTAAAGGTTCAGCGACACCATTCTCGGCTTCAGGATGAAAGCAATTACAGCCGCATCAAGAGATTTGAGCACCTAGCTGAAGAGAAGGTGGCATTAGATCCTCTCTGGTTGCCAGACTATGGTGTGTAAAAGCATGTAACCGTCCCTATGGACTGAGTGATGTTTGTGCCCCTTATACCTCCTCTGACCTTTACCAGGAAGCAGTCTGGGAGTTAATGAGAGCCAGAGGCTATGCTACCTCGAGCAAGGTAGCATTGTGCTGCTCAATATAGTGACTGACTGGTCATGTGGGGAATTTACGACTCGTGGTTTTCCAGCGCATTACACCTCTGCATCAATAATGCATCTGCTTCATCTCTTCTACTCCACTCTTCCTCTCTCTGTCATTATCTGATGGCTGATTTGATGATTGGATGCCACTGGGAATCCCAGCCATGATGTTAAAGCAATGGAGCACCCATCCCCCTCGGATAGGTAGAAGAGTGAGAGTGTGTATCTGTGTGTGTGTGTGTGTGTGTGTGGCACAGACTGTCGCTTAGCTTTATGGATCGCGACAGCTCCAGTGTGTGTGACAGCAAGAGGGGCTCATGTGAGAGGACACTGGCACTGCCTCTTGGAGACTCGTCTCCATGGTGACACATGCAGACTTTCACTTCTGCTCTTAACCCCCACCCATCACTCCATCACTCCATCACTACTCACTCCATACCCGCTGTAGAACTCTTAACCACTCCAACTTCCTTAGCAAACAAAGGCATATTTCTTTTGAATCTGTGTTGCATGTTACGATTGTCATGATCATT